CAAGCTAATCTTGCTTTTACAGCCACTGAAGTCCCACTGCAGGTCATGTGCCAAGCAGCCTGAATTGGCTTGAAAGGCTTCTAAAAATGGCTTATAAGGCACTAAAGCTTTGTCTACACAATATCCCCAACTGAGTTTAAAATTGAGAAAGCATCTGCCCAGTGTGCAGTAGGTTTTAGAAAACTAATAGTAGCAATTACATCTACCATGAGATCTCAGCTTTGCCATCATTCTATACAGAGTTCTCTAGAGGCCACCACCTCTCTTTAGCAACAAACAGAGATGTTAAGCACAAACGTACAGTATCTCGTTTTGATCAACTCACAGTCTTTTCTACCATCCTTAGAGAGGGTCAGATTTGTTCTGGCCACACAGACATTCTCTGCTCATGCTAAATGAGGTCTCATTAGCAAGGTGATCTCTACCTCTTTGCTGAAATCACCCCTCTCAGCTGGTTATTTAATTTAGATCTAAAGCTCATCTCCTGGCAGACACCCAACTAAACTCAGTGGGGCTTTCCTCAAACCTGGGGCAGCACAGCTCCTTGTGAAGCTGATGAAGGGCAGCTCTAGCATGCAGAGCCTAGCAAGGGAAAGCAGAGCTTTGGGTAAAGGGTGACAGAGAACAATATGATTTAATAATTTCATTCATTTTTAGGGTCCTTATGGTTTCCATTGGGGAGTATACACAATAAATCCCATACAAGACAGATACAGGCAAAGGAGGAGCAACTTCTGTAAGTGGTCTTCAGTACAGGAAAATCACGATCTTAAAAGCTGTCAACCCTGTCCAAAGAAAATATGTATTCACATATAAACACAATAATACAACGCAAATAAAACACAAATAAAAAGGGTGCAACGTGCCTTACAGTGACACACAAAGACAGGTCTTTTGATGAAAGTTTGGAAATTCCCCTCTTCCCCATTTACTTTACCTGATATATGTTATGCCTGTGATAATAATGGAGATTTTGGGACGACGAACAAGTGCTCTTCACTCTAATAGAGATTTTCCACTGGGTTATTTTTATGTAGTCATGTGATGGTGATTTGTAGACCATGAAGTTTGGAAGATCATATCCTCAACAGATGTGGGAGAAATCTACATTATTTTACAAGGAGCAAATGCTTGTGCATGTTGATATTGCTAAAGGAGCTAAAAGAGTGAAAGCTCAAAACTGTCTGTAAAATTATCCCAAATTCATCTGTTCCTGCTATATAACTCCATCTTGCATCTGTAAATGATAGGGAAACTTTTTTCTGAAACCTCTGAAGTTCATGAATGAAGATAATTATCTCTCCTTGACACGCAAGAAGATTCTTTCACTGACTGTCTTTAGGCAACTGCATAAACACAGTGTTTGAACTCAGCATCTTTCTTAACAGTCTTGTCCCCTCACTTTTTTTATCTGTGACTAATGGTATCACTGTTCTTCCTCCCACCCACACTTTCTAAACTGGGTGTCATTTGTTTCTTCCTTTTTTGGAGCACTTCCTTTTCACCATCATCTTCATTAATATAACATTTCTCATTCCCAACTTCACAACCTTGCAGGAAGCTCCATTAGCTTCCTTTCCCCGTTCTTCCTACATTCACTGACTTTGCCAATTACTTTGTGTCTTTTCATTCCCACAATTCAAGCCTCAGTATTGCACCTAAAGAAGCAACCCCACCAGCACACCAGGGCTTTTCTCGGATGACCCACTCCACTGACACTTGTGACCTGCAGCATCAAGAGAAACAGCTGGATTTAGAAATATCTTTTGGCTTGCCTGCATGGTCAGCCAGACACATGTGCGGGCAATAATATGTAAACTGGTGGTTTATGTGGCTACAAATATTTTAGGAACAGCAAATCACCCTTGAATTATATTGATGTTGTGCTTAACATTTCATGTTATTTTTGTCAGTTCTGGAGGAGGAAAGATGGTGAGGGGGAGTGAAACCTACTGTCAATATTTTTCCTGTGAAGGTTCCTGGTACCTTTGCCATTAACTGTCTTCGAACATTCTTAATTTTGCTGTGTATTGTAGGCTGAAAGGAATGGTATACCTTTATGAAGATTTGGTTAATTATTATGAAACTCGGAAGCTTTTGTACTGTGGGGAGGGATTCAAACTTGCTGCCCTCTAAATTTCCTTGCTCTGAATATATTCTAATGTTGGACTGTCTTTGCCAAATTTATTTTGTATTCTCTCATCAGAATCAGGAAGATCCCACTAAAATGCAGTTTTTCAGGCTTAGTTTTTGATGATATGAAGATATTCATTAATACCTCAGCTGAATTCAAACCCAGAAGACAAATTTTGGTTATATGTGAAAATGAGACTGTTCAGTTTTGTCATAGTTCCTGTTAGTTTTTAGGACACCCTTGTGGAGAAAGAAGAAAGCAGTTTTCTCAGCTTTTGCTCTGGACATTCAGTTTTAGAGATTCTAAACTGGTGGAATGTTTTCCTGCTTGTCTGACAGAAATATCCCATACTAAATTAATTTACTCTAAATATCTTCTATTATCTGCCATGAAGCTTGTTTTAAAGTCAGTGATATCATATTAGCAACTCATATAGTTTAAAAACAAAAAATGTGGGATTTTATGCAAATTTATTCTTACTACTTGAAGTGGTTTAAGTAGTTTTTCTTTAAGTAGGAATATGGTACATTAGACAGGATAATATCTGTGGCACAGATGAAGCTGCCAGGTGATCCTCTGTAAAAATTTTATTCACGGTTAAGATCAGCCACATGTTACAGCGAAGAATGATCAACCTCTTTTGTTCAGTCATCTCAGGAGGCTGAGGCTGTTGCATACAATTACTTCTGTTGTGATGCTGGATGGGCAGTGGAAATACAGGATCAAGGAGGATTCCAGCCAGAGGTCTTTCAGACCTCAGGCCCAGCCTGCAGTAGCTGAGATAAAGAGCCTGGGCAAGGACTAAGAAGATGCAGAAGCTTGTGTGGGGCATATCTAAAGCTGACCAGTGCAGACTGATGACTCCACTCTTCAGAAGCCACAGACCAGTGTGGACACAGCTAATGACACAACTCAGGTCTGCTTCTATCACCAGCCTCCAAAGCCCAAACAGCTGGTGCAGCTGCAGGTCACTGTGCCACAGAGCTCTGCTGCCACTTGGGAGCCACTGGGCATGTTCCACGGCCTTGGCTTTATTTTAAAAGCAAGTAAAGCCTCAGCAGGGGTTTGGTTTTCTCTCATGTCAACAAGCCTCAGCCAACTTAGTTTTTGCAAAACCTGACAAGTTAACGAAGATGATGTGCGAGAGGCATTAGAACCACAGGTTATCCTGAGTTGGAAGTGACCCACAAGGATCATTGAGTCCAACTCCTGACCCTGCACAGGACAGCCCCAAGAATCACACTATGGGCCCAAGACAATTGTCCAAACGCTTCTTGAACTCTTGTCAGGTTTGAAGCTATGACCATTTCCATGGGGAGCCTGTTCCAGTGCTCAGCCACCCTCTGGGTGAAGAACCTTTTCCTAATATCCAACCTAAACCTCCCCTGACACAGATCTGTGTGCAGCCATTACACTGGTCTGGAGAAGAGGAGGAAGGCTCTGAAGGCTCGTGTTCATCAAGTGACATGGAACCACACTGCACCATCAAGAGTCAGAGCTGCAGCTGCAACCCTCCCATCCTCCCCCAGGAGAACAACCTTGTCAGAGCTGGCTCCAGCAGGCAAAACAAGTGGTAGCAATGCAGGGAGACATTAATACAAAATCCTTCTCCGGTGAATTTAGTTGCAAAATTCTCATTACTTCAAGGGACTAAGATGTCATACATTGCACTCAGCTATGGGAGCATTCTTAAAATGATTAGGAGAAGCTAAGCATTTGCTTTCAATAGCCCATTATGGGATAAATTAATTCTAAAAATCTGCTGGCTCCCATCTCTTGCTGCAACTGCTTGCTTAAGCTAATCTTCCAGTTTTACGTAAGTGAAGATTGAAGAGGATGGTAAAAAGCAGCTAATAGCTAAGGAAGGAGGTTTTCTTTCTCTTCCTGGTTACAGTTCAGCTTATTTTGTTACCTTATTTATCATCTCTAATGATGTCTAAGCACACATGGAAGTGGGGGACATTTAGGAACAGCAAATTGGTCCTTGCTCCAACCACCTCTGTGTACATGGTTGCAGAGGTGATAATGTGTCCCAGAACGGGAATTTAGTGGACTTGTCTGGTGGAATATTACTTTTTGGGGACAGAAAAATGAGAACAAGAGGTTTCATAGGGTTAATTGCTTAAATAATGTGAAAAGTAGATGAGTTTGAAAACAGGCTGAATGAGAAATTGTGCAGTCAAAGTGAGTAAATGACTCACTTTGCTTCTCTCACATCATAGTGAAAAGCTGCCAGGTATGTGGTGCTAAAAAGTAACAGTATATTGAACTTTGCAGGGGCTGATTAAAGGCAAACCCAGCCCTGTGGAACACAGCATTTACTGTTGTATTCTGAGTTCTTGCACACAGAGTGTTTGGTTGAGCAGAGAACAAATTCATACTTATCCTGTGCAGATACTTAGTGTATTTACCACATAAAGCAGACATCTTTCTGGGAAATGAAGGGTAAAATATCTCTCCGCATAAATCACTGGGAATTTTTCTTTCAACTTCAGTGAAGCAATCCAAAGACATTAGGAGATGAAGAAAATTAGCATAATCAGCTCATGTTGTTTAATCCCCCTAGTCCAACCCAGGAATGTTCTCTATGTGCTACTGGTTAACACTTTTATCCCAGCCAGGTTTAGATGACCTGTAATTCCCTGCTCCACTGGCTGTTGTAACTGTCAGAGAGCTCACAATGTGTATCTTGGATTTCATTGAAGTTTGCATGTATTGCACTCCATATATTTTAAAAGTGTAGTTATATTAAGTGTAATGGAGAAAGAGCACACGGAAATATGGGAGCTACAGAGGAAAATGCTTTCAAATCTGATTGTTTTATATGGTATAATGCATGTATATTTTTAATTCCTTCCTTTAAAAGAGCTGTTAAGATTTGATAGTGACTGGAATGATGACCAGGATGGGTGTCAGTGGTGGATGACAGACTGCAGAACACAACAGGAGAAGGAGGACTTGTAGTAGGAGATTTTTCAGAAAACGAAGGAATCTGTTGAAAGCTGTGGAATTTCCATTGGACAGCATGAGCACTGAAGGCTCAGAACTACCACAGGTAAGAAAATCATCTTCTCTTAAGCACATATTTCTGTCTCACTTAAGTAATGCTTGTCATCTGTCTCTATGATGTTTATATTAGAAACATAAAGTCCTGTCAGGCTTAATTTCAAACAAAAGAGCTCTAAATCCTATCCCTCAGTTCAGTCAATTTTCATTGACTGAGGTGAGATCACCCCCAGGAAGCTTCCATCTGAAATGAACTGAATGTGCACTGATTGCAGACCGTGCAGTGCATGCCACAGTATTGCTAGAATTTATACAAATTGCTGTTATTAATGAAATGCCTGCTGTTACAGTAGAAGAAACAAGGCTGTAGTTCTTACCATTTTCTCCCAAGAGCTGAAGAAAAACATTTAGATTTAGACACCTCTGCTTGATTTTTGTGTCATTAAACAGAAATAATGCCAGCTCTGTAGAAACCTTCCTCATTTCATGGACTCAGTTGGTTTCCTTAATTCCACTGAGCTCAACAATCTGACAATAGCTGATAATTTGTCCTTATGGCTAAATGTTATTCCATTATATAAATTATGGATGTTATTCCAATACGCAAAATCTAAAAGATGAAAAGGTAAAAACAGTGTATTATGCCAGTTGCTGAGACAAAAATCTTGACAGAAATGGAATATTGATTAAATCTGGCAACATAACTAGGTGGGAACAGGAATGGGTGGTTTAAAATGCTCTAAGAATGCTGAACAAAGATGAAATGATACCAACACTATAGGTGATCCCTGTATAACAGACTTTGGGCAATGGCTACAATTACTTTGTATTTTCTAGAGATTAATTTGGGTTTGGAATATGCAAAGTTCATAAACACACATACCTAGGAATCATTTTCCAGTGGCACATTTCTAATTCTTACAGCTGTTGTCTCTCCAACACAAGAAGAAAAACATTCCTGTCATGACAGCTGCTCTTCTTAAACAGGCTTAAAGGGAAAAAAAAATGCAAACAAAGTGCTGCAAGAGAGAGAATAATAATAGGATGGGCCACTCAGCCCTGGATAGTCAGATGCATTACTCCGAAATCTGTTCTACTAAGCTTTTTTCATGGCTTTCTCCTCCCTCCCACCATCACCACAGGCATGTGTGGTTAAGAGTATGAGCCAGTCAGACCATGTTTTTTTCATGTGAAGAGCCTCACCAAAAGGTATTAATGGGGGTTTTCAGGGTTGGGGCTGGGTTTATTTCAATATTTTGCTTTTGTTAAAAAGTCCAATCCTGACTCCCACGACATAATGGAAAAGCTACTGAAGCTGTTAGATCCTACAGTTACAGTCTTTACCATATGTGAACTGCAAGTTTTTGGGACATTGATTATGAAAAACAGTGTAGACAAGTTTTCAAAGGATGTCCACCACTGTTAAATGAGGTGGATCTGTCCTTACCCCTGTTTCTGGCGTGTGATTCCCATCTGCTTCCTCAGACCAGCAGTTGCAATCATGTGTTCAAGGGGTAAAGTAAATCAGGAAAGTAATCTTGGAGCCAGTGTGGGGGAGAAGGATGCTCAGTCCATAGTCTGGTTCACCGTGTAGCCACACAGTAGCTACATGAACTCCATGCTGGGATGAAGGGAGGCCAAGGATAAAATAAGGAACCACCCATTTCACCAGCAGCAAAGAATTCCATTGGTTCAAACAGATCAAGAAAGTTTACCCAGATAGACTGACCCAAATCTTGCTAAAGCCAGTGTAAGCCCTCCACATTATCTCTTCCTGGAAGGATTTCAGAGGTGGTTGAGCAGAGAGAGCGTGACTCATACAGCAGCACTGGGACACCCTGGCCAAAACACCTGGGAATAGTAGGAGGGGGTGTTCAGGAGCCAAAGCTGCTCCTGGAATCATCCGTCACAACTTTGAAAAGGTTTCTCACAGCATTGAGTAGCAGGAAGTGAATCCTGCTTAACAAGGCTCTGTGTAGGGGCCAAAAATTTGGCTCTCAGAAAGGAGAACACAGTATAAATAAATCCTTTTGTAGGAATTGTCATGCCAGACTGGGGAAAACTGAGGGTGCAATTCCAGGAATATTTCTTCAAAAGCAGTCCTGGCACATGGCTTGTGTGTAAACACTGAGCTGGACAGAGGAAATGCCCCAGCCAGGAGAAGGAAAATATTTTTTTCCTTCCACATTTTTTTCCAGCAGGATGCCTTTTCCAATTCAATGCACCATGCAACAATGCTGTGCACTTAAATAGATTAGAATAGAACAGAACAGAGCATGTCATGATGGCACAATACATAAGTTAGAAACACTTCATCATTTACTATATAGATATTAATTATGAATGTTCAGTAAACCAACACAGTGATGCAAGGTATTAAAATCAGTATTCATAGCTATTTCTCTACTATGCTATTAGAAAACCCCTCAATGGTGAAATTTCCACAAATCACTAGGAAGCTCAGCACTGTGCTGAACCACCTTTGGAGATGGAAAGCTTTCTGTAATACCTAATTGAATAATCCTTTTCTGGATATTATGTCATCTGTTTTTTTCCTGCTGTCAAAGGTAATGCAGAAAATGTGATCCCTACTGTGCACTTTTTCCTCAAAAAAATCAACTTGTATATGAATATGTTTTGGTTTGAAGGCTGCAATGCTTATAACTAAAAGAAATAAATCTTTCCTTAAACGAAGTAATGGAGATGAGGGGGTAATGCCTTCTTCCTTGGCAGGAATATTTGAAACTTCTTGTAAAGCTGCTGTATTTTCAAATAAGCAGAAGAAATTTATCTTTCCTGTATCATTTCCTCACACACTTTTGACTAGTGATATATCTAAAATTTCTGTTTCATTCCTCATTTGTGACATTCCTGGCTGCTCAGAATATGCATATGGAAATCAGGTTAATAAAAGTGTTAGCCATAATGGGAATGCATGGGAAAAAAACCCTTTCCCCTTTTTGTGGTATGTTCTATTTTGTTTGCATGAGCCTTCTTTCCAAAAAATTCTTTCCCATTCCTTAGCTCCACTGCAAGCAAAGTCATAGAACCATAGAGTCATTAAGGTTGCAAAAGACCTCTAAGATCATTGAGTCCAACTGCGTCCAAAGTGATTGGAGTGTTTGGGCAGCATTAATGTTTGAGCCCACCCTGTGCAATGATGGAAAACAGAACCTTTTACAGGGGACCCATTCTCTGTCTGGTCGGTAAGTGAATGTAGCCCTCATGACCTGGTCCAACGATTCCAATTCAAGCATCAGGAATACTCAAACTGCTCATTCTGTGCCACTGCTCACAGCCACCACAGTGGCTTAGTGTGTGCAGGATGCAAGTGAAATGTTGTCTGAGGCCCCCAAATCCAACCCCAAAACAGTTCACAGCAGTGGGAAATGTTTTGTGCCTTTGAATCTCCTGTTGAAAATGTACATCTACAATTAATCAAATTAATCATCTGTGACAGCGCAGCCAGATCAGAGCGATACAGGTCTGACCACAAAATCTTTGAGAAATGTCTAATAATTGCCCCATCTCTTCACAACTCTGTCCTTTGCTCCCTATTACAGCTGCCATTACAAAATGTAATTAAGTTCAAGATCTCAGCCCCGACCCTTAGGGGAACCAGTGACCTGTGCCCAGGATGTCTGAAAGATCAGTTAAAGCCTACAAATGAAAATCACTGCCAGCAATTCAGCTCCCTACTACAGCAGAGTACTTTACTAAACAACTACAGGAAGGCTCCTTGGTCTAGAAAGTCACACTTGCAGCCCTGGTCCAGAACTATGACACGATCTCCCATAAGTTCAGAAATATTATGAGCATCGTGACATTTTCCCCTAAGGAATATGTGTATTCCTTCAGCTTAGTCTTCTCTATGAATGCAGAGTATTTCCACACTGGGGAATGGCAGGTAAGTGATAGGAACTTCGTAGAAACTGAATGTTCAGCCCCTATTGGAAGCAGGTACTTTGCTTTCTTAAATCTGCACTTCCAGCCAACTCAAAAAATGAGTTGAGAAACTAAGAGCTTTATCCAGTTACCGATGGCTGAAACACCAGGCAGAATTATTTTACTTCTAAGAAAGTAAAAGGACTGCTTGCCATTCTGGAAAGGATTCAGGAATTGCCAGTCTTTGGTAGCTGAAAGGGAGAAGTGTCAGGCTGTAAAGCAGTATCTAAATTCACTGCATGCCAGTCCGTTCCCCTCCCTGTGCCAAAGGTATGGAAGGCAAGAAGGAAATAGTAGCAGAGCAAAGCAAATAATTAACAGCAGATTGTAATTTGCTGTCATTTCACAAGGCAAGAAAAGACATCTCCTGCCCTTTGTGAGAGAGGATGGTGGGTCAGAAAGCCGAGAGCTGGGAGGAGATGCTGGGTACTGTTCATGGGGGATTTCTCTGTGTCTGTTTCAGAACTGCTCTTACACAGCCAGACACCAAATGTGGGGGCAGCACAGGTGCAAGGATGGCACTGTGTTGTGTCACTCAGGATCATATCCCACATAAGTGATGCCAGTGGGGTCAGAGGGTTTTGCCTCCTGAGCACTTCCTCCCTCCCCATGTGCAGATGCAGCTGTAAGTTACTGCAGGTTTTTCCTCTTTTGTTGTCTTACAGTTCAACCATTACAGGGATCATGTAAATAATGTTAACGTTTCTAGTCTTGACTGTGAATTATTTGATTCTTACAACACCAGAACGCCTGTCTGCCTGGCACACTTCCTTTTTCCCACAAAACACGCTTGCCATCTTCTGGCCAAGACACCAAGCATCACAATGCTGGCTGGAAATACACTTTCAAGTGTCTGTACTGCAGGGGCTTTTTCAGTTGTTAACACAATCAACCAAACAAACAGGCTGAAATTAAATTTTGCTTTGGGATATGAAGTTCCCCTATCACAGACGAGTTTATCTTCCAAGCTGTGCAAAACTTCTCTCTTTGATTCATAAGGATGTGCATGAGTTTTTTCTTTGATCTTCATACCTGTAAATATATTGAGAGTTTTATTTATTCAAAGTCTAAAGGAGTTAATATTATTATGCTGCTTTTACATTTAAATCACAAGTTTCGGTGGCTTTTATGGGAAACTAGTGTTGATCAAAACTGGAATTACAGTTTTCATGAATATTTATTAAACACCAACATTACAGTGGAAGGTGGGGCTGAGCAGAGTTTGTGCGGATCAGGTTCGAGCACAAATATTTGATATGGCTGTAATCAAAGCCAGTGGTAGATTTTGATATCACCTTGATATCCTCTTCAACTAGGGAGGATCTTCCAGGAAGATCACATTTTCTGCCATGGCAGGTCTAGTTTCCAGTGTAATTCTGCATTCTCTCTCCTTTTGTCTCCCACATGTTGTCTGTGAACATATATCTCCCAGATCAGCTCTTCTGAAGACTAAAATCATCTTGAGAAGTGTGTTGTTTCAGATAAAAACAGAAAATCATTCTTTCCCATTTGGGACTATATGCAGAAGACAAGGGAACCAGGGGCAGGATTGTCCTGTATGTGACTTCAGAAAATAGAGCTTTTCCACTGCAATTTTTTCTGCCAAGGCTTTGTACTGACACTGGAGTTCAGGGAGACTGGGAATTACAGTGCGAACCTCAAGACTGGAAATGCTGAACATCGTTCTACTGAGAAGCAGAGGCAGGCTCTGGCAGGCTCGGTAGTGACAGGAAGACTGGTGTTTCCACAGATGGGATTTCCTCTACGAGGCAGGGTTTCTCAGGAAGACCACGTTTTCTGCTAGTGGTATATCTAGTTTCCAGTAAAATTCTGATTCTCTCCACTTTTGTCTTTCACAAAACAAGTAGCACAAATGGTAAAAATTAATGTTGAGCCCCAAGTTGAAGGAATTTGCCTTGCCTTTTGTTATTTCACTTTGTAACTCAGGGGTTCTACAATTACAATCCAAATGTTACTAAATATCTGAGAGAAAGAGTCCCGCAAAGCCTTTGCTGTGCATATATTGAATTAGAATAGCCAGATCTTTCCTTTCAGTGGTACAAACTCCCTGCATACAGCCACCCATCACCTCATAAGGGGAAAAAAGTTGAGTATAATCAATTTTCATTAGCTATAAAAAACGGCATATAGGGCAAGGCTCTATATGTACAGCTGCTATTTAATTTGTCATTTCAATGGGAAAAATTTTCATTAATGAGGTTAAAAATTAACACTGGATCTGCATTTTATTTCTTACCTTTACAGCTGTCTAACACAAAGCATGGCTGAGGTCAGAGAAGCTGCTCTGATGGTAGCATGTGCTATTCCATGTGCTCCACACAAAATATCACAATCATTTGCATTTCTCCCTCTCAATCAGGCACACCATTTCTGAGCTGCTGTCTGGTAATTGAAAAAATGAGCTGCACCAGCTGTCAGGGTGTTCCAGCTTCCCACCTGTTTTAGCAGACACGTTTTTCTTTGAAAAAATAGCTCTTAAACTTCTATTATAAGAAGTAATAGCTAAGAACAGCTTCAGAGCAGAAACTAATATTCAAATGCAGAGAAATAAAGAATATCAATTCCTAGGACAAATTTCTAGCATCTGATCAGAGATACTTTTAATGTATTTTACTACTTTAACATTCTAGAATTGTTTTTACTGAGTATGTAACTTATAGTAAAGCTTGCTGTCTTTTCTACTATGGATTAATAACAGGATTAGGGGGACTGGGAAAACTGCTAAGAAAGGGGATGATACCCAACAGGCAAGTACATAATACTGCCTGTCTCAAGCAATATGCACTCAAACACTAAAAAACCATGGCAAGAGATGAAGGGATACATGGCAATAATGAAATAAAGGATCTTTATTCATTCTTTCTTTTTGCTTGCTTAGTTATGTCTTCAAATCAGGGCTGGAGTACACAGTCAGCAGCTCTGGAAAAGAAGGTGAACCTCTGCAGCAGGAGCCACAACATGTGTGTGTGGTGACTTATGGAAGACAGACATTTCTCCATGTAGCGCTTGGAAAACAAAAGAACAACAACAGTGGAGGTGAAGGATCAGGGAGGAGCAATCTGAAGTGGTGCATTTCCCAAAGGCCCCAACACAGAGGGGGTCTGGAGCCGAGAAAGCCAGATGGGAATGCTGTCCTAAGCACAGTGCCTTGGGCAGGAGCTGGGCAAGGCCTGGCTGGCAACCCCATGGAGCTGTCCATGTCTGCCTCCCCACAGAGAAAAGGGGCTGTGGCAGATGTACATCCCTTCTGGAGCAGCAGAGATGTCAAGGAGGGGGCTGCAGTCCTTAGACATATTCCTTGTCTGTCTCTTTTCTTGTCTCCTTGTTAAGTGTGCTAGTCAGAGTTTGGAAATTGGACAAATATGCCAATGAGAATACAATTTATACTGTTAATTAACTAATACTGTTAATACAATTTGTTCTCTTATCTCCCCTTTTTTCCCAGAAGGCAAAAGCCAAAGGCTGTTTCTGCAGTTTTGAAGAAAATTGTAAAGCCCCATCCAACTTGGCCCTGAACACTTCAGGGATGGGGCATCCACAGCTTCTCTAGGCAACCTATTCCAGTGCCTCGCCATCCTCATGGTAGGGAATTTCTTCCTAATATGTAGTCTAAACCTACTCTCTTTTAGTTTGAATCTGTTCCTCCTTGCCCTGTCACTACAGGCCCTTGTAAAAAGTTTCTCTCGGTCTTTCTTGTAGGCTCTGTTCAGGTAATGGAAGGCTGCAATTAGGTCACCTCGAAGCCTTCTCTTCTCTAGGATGAAGAATCCCAATTCTTTCATCTTTTCCTCATAGCAGAGGTGCTCCATCCCTCTAATCACCTTGGTGGCCTCCTCTGGACTCGCTCAGAGAGGTCTATGTCCTTTCTGTGCTGGGGACCCCAGAGCTGGATGCAGTGCTCATATGTTACAGACATTGACACTTCATGCAGATGAGAAATCAAAATCAATCTTTCACACAAACAAGTGTAAAACAATTTCTTTTGCTAAATGTTTACTTTAAGTAAATTGCTTTCTGCTTTCTTATCACCTTTTAAGAAATGCTATCCAAACCCATGGCATTTAGCTGTAAAGAAGGAATAAACCCCAAACTCAGTACAATAACTAATCTTAAACACACTAATTTTTATATGGAAATTCTTAATATATTCAATAGGTCCCTGTGTCAATAACAATATTTACAGGTTTCACCTTACCTTTTCAAATGTAACCTTGATTTGCTTTCTTTCTCTTCAGAAGGAAGAGATGGATATAAACTATTTTTGTGTAAAGACTACTGGTGTCTTTAATTATAATATTAAAAATAGTCGCATGAGTGCAAATCATTTCTATTGAACATTAAGCAGCAATACCTTGGTCTTTCAATGTTTTGCCAGTACCACTTTGGAAGGGCCACACAGAAAAGTCTGTCTATGACAAACTTGTTCAACGTAGGAGAGTCTGTGCATCTTTCTGCATGAGCTGGCACTTCTCTCTCCTCGCAGAGCACAGGCTGACAACGCCAGGACGCTGCTGCAGGCAGGGCTGATGGCACAGACTGTTCTCCACAGCAGGCAATGAGCAGCTTCACCCAGGCACAGCTGGGTGCTGAATCCACCACAGCCTACACTAATAAAACATTGATAAATTTGGCTTTTAAAAAATGCAGATTGGTTTCTTCTATGCTGGAATATCATCCTAGGAGAAGAAAATCCACATGAGGTTCCTTTCATGAGTCTTTGTTTTATGTTTCAGTCCAAAACACACACGTCCTTAGTGATTGTAATGAAAAAGCTGTTACAACAAAATGTAAGATATACTGTACAGAGCTTTATTCTTATATAGGGAATGAAAAATGGTATCAGAGAATCAACCGCAAAAGGTATCTGGGAAGGAGAAATGAAACTTGGAAATAGCTAATGGATTGCTACAGTTATTGCAAACTAAAATGCATTTTGACTTGCACATTTGCACTGTTTTTCTTAGCAGCCAACAATTTTCATTCTTACAGAAGTTATTGTTACTGAATCAGGCTAAATTTACATGGGCTATTTCAAGGCAAAGGTATTGTGAATATTTAGATTTCAGGATCTGGTACTTAGAAAAAAACCCAACAATACTTTTAAAACCCTCCCTGCATTTTTATTCTTTTTATTTATAAAAGTGTGATTTTTGCAAGACCATGTGATTTTGCAATATCTAATGTGAGCACTGGCATTAATCCAATAAAGCCTTTGGCTTGATGGGATCATGAGAGCACTTAAGCAAATGGAGTTTTAAGAACTCTAAAGTTGTTTTGCCAAAAAGTGGTTTTAGATTTGACCATAAAATATGGGCACAGAGCCTAAACACGGCCTCAGCAGACTGGTATAGAAAATAAACAGTTCTACCATTCTGGAAGATAACAAAGATTGCATTATGTCCAGTTAATTCAGGGCATGCAACTTACACAACTGATAATTTGTATTTATGGAGTTCCTCTTGCTCTAAAAATCTCAAATGGAAAAATACTAACAGCTTTTGGAAAAAAAATTATATGAATTTTGACCTCTCTGAGCTGTCAAAAATACTCCAAAAATCATTTTTATGTGACACAGAGTAAAACCCCAACCTTTTGCCACATACCATACAGAATCTCAGAGAATTCCAGTGGCTTGTTATTGACACAGACTCAGCCTGTCTGACTCAGCCTGATACAGGAGGTGTATCGAATTATTCTGAAACCATTTTTGAGTATTAAGTTCTTATTTATTATGCAACAGCTCCCCAGGGCTTGTTCTTTGTGCTGCCTTGTCATGGGCGTGGGCTTGACACTTGACACCACGTCAGGGCAGGTACACCCGGGCACAGTGATACGTGGAACAACCTTCATCTGGAGTCAGGACTATTTGCCCTTAACAGTTAATCTATACAGACAAGTCAAGGAGCTTTCTGCTTAATTTGTGTGTTAGTTACGAATGAGAAATTGCAGAAGTCCTCAGCCATGAGAACTTTTTTTTTTATAGGAGCATTAATATCCATATACTGGGAATAGTATTTAACCCCCCAATATACAAAGAAGTAGAGACTGCATTAAACTCTGTAAGTAATATGCCAAATTTCCCTGCATTTGTGTCTATAACTGAAGTGAATTCAGTAGAGGTTTGCTAGTGTAAAAAAGCTGAATTTGGTTTATTATTCCACATTTGAAAGTGTGTAGTGCAAATTGCAAAATGAAAACTATCCAGCAGGTGTCATCTTCCTGCATCCCATCTGGCTGATAATCCAGTTTATATTTACTTTTTTTAATTGAACCGAAATCAAAAGCAGGAGTCCTAAACATTGCAACAAGTTTTCTGAACAACATGTGTAAAACATGTACTAATTTAATCTGATATGCCTTACTAACACTAGGATTTCTGGAATGTTTGCAACCTGGAAGTGTTCAAGCACAAAATAATTTGCAGATATCCGTGACTGCACTCACATGCCCAAATAACATCTGTAAAATATGTCCGTAAATACTCGTATTTAAACCTGAAAATCCATTTAATGGATTCCATTTAATCCACATGTCCTTAAAGCAAGAGAAATATGTACTACAGCATTGCCTCTGATCCAGAAGCCTGTACTGCAAAAATAGATTTAAGATGCTCTTTACAGATGAGAATATTAAATGAAGTTGAAAGGGCCTCAGGAGGGCAGGGAATTCTGTTTCCTTAAATGGTGTTTTAAGTTGTTTGATTTCTTGAAATTACACCTCATGCAAATAAATATTTTCATGTGGATTACTGGGAATTATCAAGTACCCAGAGCTGCTTGATATACATTGTTTTTAGTTTCAAATCAAATACTGTTATTTCTATTCAGCAGCTTTATACTTAGTTGAGGAGTAAAACTATTCAAGCAAGCCTGAATCACTCTGATTCAGCCATCTTCAAATGTAAGTAAAATAAACCCTTTTCACATTTTAAACCCTGACCTCTATTATTTGACATGGGAAGACTTACTAGGTCAGAGTTACGCCTTTCAGCATGTGATTAAAACATGTCCATGTCCATGGATTTTGTAATACAATCCTTTAGCAATCTGGCAACATTTCTGGCTTTGTTAGCTGGGGCATTGCTTAGGAAAGTTCCTGTGCAACACTGCTGTGGTCTGATCCAAAATCCTTTGGACACAATAGAAAGGCTTCCAAGGGCTTAAGCCACAGACAAGTGAGGCTCACAAAAAGGCTGAGCCCGAGCAGGTGAAGCAGGAGGCAGACACTGGTGGGAAATCTCAGCGTGGCAGATGCCAACAGGCTCACAAGTCCATCTCAGTTGTGGCCTGGAACGTGCTTTTAATTCCCACAAGCGGTGAGGTGGGAAATGCCCCTGTTTCAGACAGGCAGATATTGTTACACATTGAATTCAATTTAGTGTGGGGTTTTTTTTAGTAAAAATCATAGAATCGTAGAAAGTTCAAGGGTTGGAATGGACTGTAAAGGTCATCTGGTCCCAACCCCCCTGTGGTGGACAGGGACACCTCTCATTCACCGGGTTGCTCCAAGCCCCATCCAACCTTTTGGTTGGCTTTGAACACTTCCAGGGTTGGAGCATCCACAACCTCCCTGGGCAATCTGTTCCAGCATCTCATCAGCCTCACAGTGAAAAATTCCTTCCTAATATCTAACCTAATTTCCACCTCTTTTAATCTGTACCCATTACTCCTTGCCCTATCACTACAGTTCCTGATGAAAAATCAAGGCAGCTTGAAGTTTCCATTACTCCCTGTATCTGTGGCTTCTGCGATAATACACAAGGAAGGAAAGAGGATTTAAAAGGAAAATGCCTTTTTTCCCTATTACCCTGATCTATGGTTATGCATAAAAGCAGCTGAAACCCATAGGCTGTGTTTTAGCAGGTAAATCCACTTGATATCACTGGCAAAGAAGAGCAGAAATATGTTTTTAAGTCACTACTTCTCCCAGGCTCAAAAAGGAACTTTGTTTCCCCTTCTCTTTTTTCTTTATTTCTTTCCTTTTTTTTT